ATGGTGACAGCCCCCATGCTTTGGCCTGGACCAATCCCACTACAGGGGGGTTTCTCAATCTCAGCACACATATCAGCATATTTGGGTCTAGACAATTCTTTGAAGGTGCTGGGTGGGCTGCCCTGTGTAAGTGGGGGAGGTGGGTTGAACAACATTCTTGGATATCTACCACTAGATGGCAGTAGCACCCCAGTCATGAATGTGACCAACCAAAAATGTGTCCAGATGTTGCTGAACCCAGTGTGTGCCAGTACCTCAAGGTGTTCACCAACCCAGAAGCTCTCTGAACTTCGTTATTTAACATTTCTATAGAGGGTCCAATCTGTAGGCATGATTCATTAAATTGGTGACTGAATACTTCCAGCCCCTCTCCCCATCCTGAAGCTTAGAGGGTGGGGCTGAAAGTCTCAACTCTCTAATCCTTCCTTGGTCTTTCTGGTGACCTTGGGGCTTTCTGCCACTAGTGATCTCATTCTCATACGAAAAATCACTTCTATGACCCTGAACATTCCAAGGGTCTTAGGAACTCTTGTGTCAGGCACCCAGGACTAAGACCAAATACATTATCATTCCTATCACTTAGGATATTACAAAGGTTTGGGGACCTCTGTGTCAGGAACCAGAAGCAGAGACCAAATACATATATTTTTTATTGTGTCATAGGAACTAAAAATAATAATACCAAAAAGCTCTAGGAGACAAGTTCTGGAGCTGTAGGCCCAGCATGCCTCATTGCACTGTCACTGTATTCTTCAAATCCTGCTTTCCAGGAAGCCATATTTGAGTGCTTGGCTTAGTGGTGCCTGAGCAGGTGAGCACCACCTGCATGTTAGGGGTGCCTGGGACAGTGCTTGTAAGGGTATAGAGTACTCTGATCTGTCAGTGGCTAGAGAAGCAGCCTGCTTAGAACAGGATAGATGGCCCCAGAGGCGATAGTCACAACAAGACTGGACCAGGACACTCACTCCTGAGCCCGTGCCCATTGGAGCAAAATCCCTGCTGAATCATTTGGATTTGCATGAAAAGGAGGCAACCTCTTGCTTCAGGCTGATGTCTCAAAAGAAAATGAGGCCACCACTCCTTAGGGGTGTGTAAATGTTGTCAAAATCAAAACAAACTCACTAATGTTAAGAAAACTTTGAGAACTAAAGCTGGGGAAGATTAAAAGGGAAGATTCTTATGCTTTTACACCTGATCACACAAACTGTCACACAGATTGCAAAAACTCCTTCATCTCTCTCTCCCTCTCATTCACACACACACACAAACTTCTGCAAGGACGTCTGCCCAGCAACTGTCTGTGCAACCTCAGACTGGTATCAACCTTATTGTTGATCTTCATAGCCAAGGATTACAAAGATGTAATCCTCTTCATTATGTCTTTTTTTTTTTTTTTTTTTTTT